ACAGTCAGTGCTCTGTGATAAATCTGGCCTAAGAAAAATTTATGTGGGAAGTAAATAACATATAGCTCAGGTAATGTATTAACAAGAATGCCCAATAATGTTTACTTATTACAATACTCTGTGTGTACAATCCTTAAGAACACTTTCAAATACTTTAAACCATACTTTGTCCAAACCTGGGGAAAAATGGCCCATTGCCTGTTTTTGTGAATAAAATTTTACTGAAAACACATCCACATTCACTTGTTTACATACTGTTCATGGCTGATTTTTTGCTACAATTGCAGAGTTGAATAGCTGTGACAGCCTGTATGGTCTGCAAAGCTAAAACTATTATTATTATTTGGTCTTTTACAGAAAGTTTACATTCCTTGCTCTAAACCAATGGGTCTCAAACTTTAATGTTCATAAGAAATACTTAGCTTGTTAAAACAGTTACCTAGGCTCTAGCTTCCCAGATCATGATTCATTAGGTTGGGATGGGGTCCATAAACTTGCATTTCTAACAAGCTCAGAAGGTGCTGGTCTATGAACTGAACTTTGAGAATCACTACTCTAAACCATCTCATATAATCACAGATGAGCAATGACAACAGATGCTATGAACTCTAGTAGTATAAGACAGGATAGCCACAAAATAAAAACTAAGGTGTAAAAGAGGAGTGGGATCTGTTGATGTATGGAATTCTTGGCAGCTAAGAAAGCACAATTGGTTGCCATGATCAGCTGATAATTCTTCAATCCCTCTTCCTAACATTAATTCATAGTGAACACTGGAAATGCAACATGGACCAGCAGGAACCGAAAGCAATGGGGTTGGAGGTGTAAAACCCAGTCTGTAGTTTAGAGAAGTTATAAAATGCTTTTTTGTTTTTAAGAAAAAGCCAGGCTATATGCAGGTATGATTTAGTATTTGACTATAGTACAACGTTTGAAAAAAAAAATCTGAGACATATGGTTTATAATACAATGTGCCAATCAAAAGATGAATTCTTTCACTCCATATAAACATAAATGGTTGGGTGCCTGAGTGGCTCAGTCGGTTAAGCATCTGCCTTCAGAGCTCAGGTCGTGAACCTGAGGTCCTGGGATCAGGCCCCCCACCATTGGGCTCCCTGCTCATCTGGGAGACTGCTTCTCCCTATTCCTCTACCTGCCACTCCCTCTGCTTGTATGCTCTCTTACTCTCTGTCAAATAAATAAAATCTTTAAAAATAAATAAATAAATAAATAAATAAATAAATAAATAAATAAGGTTAAAGAGAAAAAGCTTTTTTTTTTAAAAAGATTTATTTATTTTAGAGGGAGAGAGATTGTGTGAGAAGGAGCAGGAAGAGAGACAAGGAGACTCCCCGATGAGCTATGTGGGGCTCGATCCCATGGTCCTGAGATCAGGACCCGAGCCAAAACCAAGAGTCGGATACTCAACTGACTGAGTCACCCAGGTGCCCCAAAAATAAAGTTTAAGTAAATTCTAAGAAACATGTGTCATGCTAATATCAGAAAGAACACAGAGGATGTCAACTAACACACTTTATTAGAACTAGGCTCAGGTAGAACAAGAGTGGGTGATACGTAAACCACCTAAAACTATCAGTTTCCTTCTCTTGGATACTGCAGATGATAGAGGTAGAAGATAAAGATTTGGAGGTAAAATTCTCTTTGCTGATTTATTAGAACAGGAAACACCACCTTTTTCTTTATTCAGTTTTTACTGTGCATCTACCACGCTCTGAGGCACTATACTAGGAATTAGGGGGAAAAATGAATAGGGGCACCTGGGTGGCTCAGTGGTTGAGCATCTGCCTTAGGTTCAGGGCATGATCCTACAGGGAGCCTGCTTCTCCCTCTGCCTGTGACTTTGCCTCTCTCTCTGTCTTTCTCATGAATAAATAATTTTTTTAAATTGAAAAGCAAAAGAATAAACACCATCCTTCCTCTCAACATACTTGCAATCTAGTGAGAGCCACATAACTAACTGCAATACTGAATAATATGTATAAGGACCATTGTATATTTTAAGTACCATCAGAGTGTAGGAAGTGAGATTACCTATGTTTCGGAGGAAGGTGAAGAAAGGCTTCACTGGGCACTGAGTTACTGCTTTAATTGAAACCTGCAGAAACTGAGCAGGTGAAGGAGGGGTAGAGAGCGGAGGAAGCAGTGGATACTATGTGTACAAAGGTACAGAAGTGAGAGAATACTATTGATGTGATTTCTATAAACAGGTCAGCTTGGTTGAAGCAGAGAGTAACAGCTGAAGGGACAAGATGGGAAGCTGGACAGGAAGGCAGGGTTGCATATGAAGAGCCTTGAGAGCCACACTAAAGTTAGGTTTATTCTTCTAGCTCTAGGGAAATGGTCAAGAATGCCACCCCCAACACGGACCATGTGGGTTTGCATTTTAATAAAATCACCAGAGAAGAGCAATTGGTGAAAACTGTGAGGAGACTCTGCATTCATGGCACAGATGAGAAGAAGAAAGAGAAGTAGGTCTGAATAGAGGTTAAAAAAAAATTCCCAGCTTAATTTTTGTAGAAATGAAATTTGCAAGAAGCAGCAAAGACCGAAATTAACACATCACATTCTGAATTTAGGAAATATTTTCTTTTTTTATCCAATAAGGCCAAAGGCTAAAAAACACTTAAAGAAGACATCTGGTCTATGTTGACAGAGAAGACCTTGTCAGATTCTAGTCTCAGACCTTGAACAAATTATAACTTCTCTGAGCTTCAGTTCCTTCACCTATATGATGAAGGGTTCAGGGTTCTTGATCTGGGCTATAAACAGAAGTATATCTCGATATAATTGGTTTCCTTTGTAATGCTACTCATCTAAATTAAATTTTAAACCATTCTCTTATTCTGAGAAGAGGTCAATGGTACAAAAAAAGATTAAGCAGCTCTGCATGATATTTAATGTCACAACTCTCAAATTATAGGATTTTGGACATTCATTATAGGAACTAAAAGAGAATGTCTCTGGCTAAGGACAAATATGGATGGGGCGCTTGTAAAAGCACAACACCATGGACAAAAAATAAAATAAAAGAATACACAGGGATTTACAGTCTGACAAAGGTTTATATTCTTTGCTTTTCCGTGTCCTTTTCCTGTTTTGTAGTTTAATGCTGTATTAAACAACTGCTTGATGGCTTCCTTCTCTTATGTCCTTAAACTTACTGAAGCATGATTTTATAGAATAAAACTTAACAGTAAAGTCTGTGAAAACGCTTAGCATATGGGGAAGATTATATAATGAGGTTGCTAATGTTAGCAATCAAATAAAGGTGGTGAGAACAAAAATGCCTTCATAAGGTTCAGACACAAAACTACCTGGGGGAAAAAAAGAAGCTAGGTAAATAAAAAACAACATTTTCTTTTTCTGTTCTTTTTTTTTTTAAGATTTTATTTATTCATGAGAGACATGGAGAGAGAGAGAGAGAGGCAGAGACACAGGCAGAGGGAGAAGCAGGCCCCATGCAGGGAGCCTGACGTGGGACTCGATCCTGGGTCTCCAGGATCACACCTTGGGCTGAAGGTGGCACTAAACCACTGAGCCACCCAGGCTGTCCAACAACTTTTTCTTTTAATCAGAAACAATTGTTTTTTAAAAGACATGTGGGACAACATGTAGTTCTTCTCATCTTGAAATTACAGGATTTAATAGCAAGGATGCATCTCTCCCCTCTCTCTACAATGGTACTGATAATGAACTCCAAATGACGTAAATTTATAAGGCCACTGTTATAATTTAAACACTGTAGCTACTATACAGAAAGGAAATCAGATTTAAAAACAAAAATATTTTAAAGAACTCTATAAGACATGAATTATAAAACATATTATCAGAGAAAAGATGAATGATATAATTATTCTTTGAAGGTACTCCTATTCCTTGAAGGTACTCATTACATACTTTATTTTGCTCAGATTAAACTATCAAAATGGTTCTGATTAATCAATGAAAGTATCGCTGCATTTGAGCACTGAGCAATGCAGTGGTTTGAAAAACCACTGGAAGATTACCATAATGTAATTTGTAGTATCCTTTTAAAGTACATGTACTTAGTATTTAAATGCTCAGCTTTTTTAGACCTGAATCCAATGGGGAACTTTTGAATGCACAAGTTAAATCTACTCACCTTTTAAATTATTATCTATATTAAAATTGTAGGAGTTTCATCTCTTAGCAACATTCTGAGGGAAAATGAGGGAAAAAAGCCTTTACCACCGCTGGACCCTTCTTCTGAAGAAAAACTACAATATTTGTATTCTTTCCTTCATGACACTTACCAACCTAACAGATCTGTGCAGTAGGGCAGGTTCCTGTCTCTACAGGTAACTTTCTTCCCACACATCCCTGGCAATCTGCATATCTATAAACCAGAGGCAGGTAACAGAAATACCTAAGGCAGTCTTTAGTGTCACTCTGCTCCTCCCCAGATGTGGTTTCTTTTAACAGGTATCCTTAAAAGAGTACGTAAGTGCTATGCTTTTTAAAAAAGTCACTTTTTAGCAAAAAAACACTATAGCTCCCGAGTCTTCCGGTAATTGATTTATTTTAGAAAAACTGTGCCAGGTAAACATTACAACTACTTATGAAAATATACGTATGTAGTTCAAGCACTTTTAATCCAGGCAATACAGAACATATGTTCAATGAATTAGGAAAAATTCAGAATTCACATTTCCAGAGGAACCACCACAGTTGATTCAGGAAGGCAAAATATTTGCCAGGAGCAAGATATTGCAAAATCATCGCTACATCTCATGTAAAATAAACCGTATCTTAAGCAAATCCACTAACAAGGGCCACAAATCTACACAAAACATAAGTTAGTAGGGGAAACTAATTTTTAAAGGATGTATTCAAAATATGACTTGTGCACAACCAAAGAAATCCCTTACTGCGTTAAAAAAAAAAAAAAGTCACATTTACAGTTTATTCCAGGGCATAACATAAACTATTTCTCTACAAATGTATGAAGAAATACTCACCTCCATTTTCACAGCAGCTGTACTCTGGTCATAATGTCTCATCAAATTAGGGAAAAACGTCATGTTGTAGGCCATTTTCATACATCGGGGCACAGTGATTGGTTCACAAGTGAAAAGACTGTGCCCTCTTACGAAGGGTAGAAAAACACACGTCCACAAGAATGTAAACATTTCCATTTTCCTCAACTTCCTGGTTTTAGCACATGGCTTGGATTAATCGCTCGATCTCTTCATTCTCAGATTTCCATCCGAAAATAAAATGTTCAGATTCCTCTTTCATTATTTGGCCATTTTGAAGGAAGAAGCTCTTTTCCTGAAATGAGTTCTGGGTCAAGCGCTGTAAAAAAAAAAAAAAAAAAAAAAAAAAAAAAAAACAAGAGAAGTGTATCTGCAACACCGGTCATCAGCTCCAATGTGGACATCCAAGTGCAGAGTTAAGATTTTCACCGTCGGTAACTAACCCTGGAGAAAGGACGGAGAAGTCCGTCCCCTCCAGAGAGTCTTCCACCTGCTTTTGCGCAGAATGTTTAATTTGTCGAGGAAGTCCCGTCTCTAGGGAACCGGTGGTAGAACGCTGGGGCCGCCCGGAACGCGCGGCGAACGTGGGGGCGGAGGGGGCGGAGGGGGCGGAGGGGGCGGAGGGAGGGGGCGCAGAAGAGCAGGAGAAGCGCGCGGGGCTCGGGAGAAAGCAGCAGGTACCAAGGGCATCCACGATGGCAGATTCTAAGGGGCCCCTGTCGGGTATCTGATCGCGCGCAAGAACACCGAGTCCCAGGGAAATTCCTGAAGACCTAGTGAGTTCCTGAACTCCTTAGGGGCTCCAAAGGGCCCGCTTTTGCGGCAGTCTCGGGCAGATAACACTGGTGGTTTCACAAGGCCACCTAGAGGGAGCCGTCTAGGATTCCTCCCGGGGGACCAAGTTCGTGTTCCCGGGCTGGGGCGAGCAGCGACCCCGCCCAAGGGGAAGAGGAACAAAGCTGGGCCAAGAGGGCGACGGGTGTCTGGGGGAGGACGGGCTGCGGGCCCCCGAGGGCCGACCAGCCGCCCCCCAACACCCGCCCCCCCGGGGCCAAGCTCCGGGCGCGGGAACCCGCCCCACACCCGCACCTGCCCCGGGCCTAGAGCGGGGCCCCGGCCGCGTCCCCACGAGCCGCTCCCCGACTTCTGCGCACACTCGGGCCTGCGCGGCCTGCCCGCCGCCCCCGCGCCCCCGCGCCCCCGCGCCCCGCACCTGCGCCCCCGAGGCCCGCCGCGACCCCGGGGCACCTGCCCCCCAGCCCGCGGCCGAGAAGGAGCCTCACCTCCCGCCGTCCGCCCACGCGCGCCCACCGCGCCCGGAGAGCGCTCCGGGAGGCGTCGGGACTCCAGCTGCCTCGGAGCGGCCCGGGGCGCGAGGGCTGAGCGATCCCGCGAGACTGCGCCGCCAGGTCGGGCGGGCAGGTCTGGGCTCGCGGCGGCGGCGGCGGCGGCGGCGGCGGCGGCGGCGGCGGCGGCGGCCCCGGCCCTCCCCCCCCGCCCCGCCTGCGCTGCGGCCGGGCGGCGCCCCATTAGGGACCGTGTCCGGCCGCGGGCCCCGCTGTGCGCGCCCCGCGTGTCGCTGTCCCGGGCCAGAGGGCTTCGGCCTCGAAGGGTCTTTGGAAGCTCGGAGCCCCGACAGATCCTTTAAGAGAACCCACTCCATTTCGGATTAAAGGGCACAAAAGAATTCTCAAAGGGGGCAGATTTGCCCCAGAAGTCAGTTGTCCAAGTTGGTTGGAAAGTGGGTGACTTCCTGGGTAACTGTCCCTCCCCCCCAAAAAAAAAATCCCTTTTGTTAATTCTGGGCGTCCAGCCACCCCCACCTGAGGCACAGGTGGCAGTGGACTTCTAGCTCTGGCAGGTCCCACAAGAACCCTAATAGTTGAACTACTTTAGAAGTCAATCTAGTGTTTAGTACTAGCTATGCCTCACATCATCTCACCTATTATTAATCCCTCCTTTCTTCCTAAGGAAGACATAAGGAACATAAGGATCTTTTTAGTCTCTCTCTTGTTTTGTCATTTCTAGAATGTCATATGGTTGGAATTGGAGAATATGTAGTTTTTTCAGATTGGGCCTCTTTCACTTAGTAATATTCTTCAGTGTCTTTTCGTGGCTTCATAGCTCATTTCTCAGTAGTGCTGAATAAAATTCCATTGTCTGGATGTACCACCGTTTATTTATCCATTCACCTGCTGAAAGAGGCCTTGGTTGGTTTCAAGTTTTGGTGATTGTGACTAAAACTCCTGTAAACACCTGTGAGTAAGTTATCGTGTTGATGTTAAGTTTTCAACTCTTTTGGGCAAATACCAAGTCAGTTTTATAAGAAACTGTCAAAATGTCTTCCAAAGGGCCCTACCATTTTTTATTCCCAATAGCAAAGTTTGAGAGTTCCTGCTGCTCCACATCCTCAACACCATTTGGTGATGTCAATGTTCTGTATTTCAGCCATTCTAATAGGAGCAGAGTGGAATCACATTGTTGTTTTAATTTCCACTTCTCTGATGACATACGATGTGAACATCTTTTCACACACTATTTGTGATCTGTGTATCTTCTTTGATGAGGTTTCTGTTAAGGTCTTTGGCCAGTTTTTAAAGTGGGCTGTTTGTTTTCTTATGGTTGGAATTTAAGAGTCCTTTATATATTTTGGAAAACAATCCTTTATCGGGTATATCTCTTGCAAATATTTTCTCCCAGTCTGTGGCTTATCTTCAAAATCTCTTGACACTGCCTTTCGTAGAGCAGAAGTTTTAAATTTTAATGAAGTCCAGTCCATCAATTATTTCTTTCATGGATCATGCCTTTGGTGTTGTATAGAAAAAGTCATCATCAAACCCAAGGACTTCTATATTTTCTCCTATGTTATCTTCTAGGAGTTTTATAATTGTTGAGGTTTTTTTTTTTTAAGATTTTATTTATTTGACAGAGAGAGAGTGCACAAGTAGGGGGAGCAGCAGGCAGAGGGAGAGAGAGAAGCCAACTCTCCACCGAGCACAGAGCCCAATGAGAGCCACCTAGGCACCTGGAGTTTTATAGTTTTGCTTTTCACATTTTGGTCTATAATCTCTTCTGAGTTAATGAATCTGGTCACAAATCTTACACAAAATCTTCACAAAAAATTGTTTGACTTGTGAATGTCCAGTTGTTCCAGGACTATTTGTTGAAAAGATGATCTTTGCTCCATGTATTGTCTTTTCTCCTTTGTCAAAGATGAGTTGCTATATTTATATGGATATATTTCTGGACTCTCTATCCTGTTCATAGTGAACAAAGCTGGACAAGGACGGTGACAGAATGTCTGGGCGAGGAAGACTGTGGGCCCCAGATCAAAAGTAACTGCACCCTCCGACATACACACCTTGTACAGGCTTCCAGCCCTGGACTTGCCCCATACCCCAGCACCTGTCCCTGTTTTGAGCAGATCTGTTGGTACCATTTTTCCAAAAGCATTTGCTCACTTCATGTCTCTGTGCCATATTTTGGTAATTCTCAAATTATTTCAAGCTTTTTCATTATTATTGTATTTGTTGTGGTGATCTGTGATCCATGATTATGACTCACTGAAAGCTCAGACCAGGTTAGCATTTTTTAGCAGTAGAGTATTTTTTAATTAAGGTATGTACATTGTTTCTTTAGACATAATGCTATTGCGCATTTACTGGACTACAGCACAGTGTAAACATAACTTTTATATGCACCAGGAAACCAAAACATTCATTTGACTTGCTTTATTACAGTGGTCTGGAACCCAACCCACAGTGTCTCTGAGGTGTGCCTGTATCTGCTTATATTACCCATCTGTTTTTACATGCTATTTTTTCCCTTAGAGCCCTTTGCATATTAATCGTAGTTATTTTAGATTTCTGGTCTGATAATTCCAACATTTCTGTATATCTGAGTCTGGTTCTGAGGCTTGCTCTGGTTCTTCAGATTGAGTCTTCCTGCATTGTACTACCCCCTGTAACTTTTTGTTGAAAGCCGGACACAATGTACCAGGAAAAAGAATAGTGGTAAATGAGGCTTCAGTGATGTGGAGTTGGGCGGGAGTGGGGTAGGGAAACATTCTATAGATCTATGATTAGGTCTCAGTCTTTTAGGGAGCCTGTGAATTTTACAAGAGCCTATCAGTTTATATTCCTCTCAGGTGGGACAATATCCTCGGAGTGGGCTGAGAGGGGTCAGGTATTTTTCTTCTCTCAGGTCAGTTAAGCTCTGATAGAAAGAATCCCAATAGGTTAAGCTTTGACAAGATAATTTCTCAAGTCTTATTAAGAAGAACAGAATGCTCAGGCATATTTCAATAAGATATTTTTCTTCCTTCCCCTGGTAGGAATGTGAGGGGATTTTTCTCCACCAGTTATTGTCAGAACCTGGTAGACCTTCAGGAAGTAAAGCTCAAGGTGTGGGAGTGCCCTGAAGACTGGGTCCCCGTGCGGTTTTTCACTCTTAGACGTGTCCATAACGAGTCTCCAGAAATTCTGCAATTAAGACTTCAGGCTTTCCTATCCCCAGACCAGAAACTCTATTTCTTCATTTTCTAAAATAAGTATTGCTTTAAGACTTTGATGAATATTTCAGTTGCTACTGCCTTAGCAGAACAAAGTTTCTCTGAATTAAGTTCAAAAGTTCCAAGGGCTATAACAACTCAGAAAAGTTATATAATTTAGCATTGTTGTTAATAGAACACTGATTATATGAAAACCATGATTCTAATAACAAAATTAGGTGATGTTACTAAAATGAAGAGAAGAAAATAAATTTTATAGAGTAAATATACCATTGGTAAATTGCATTAAGTTTTTATTTTATTACTTATCCAAACATCTCTGGCCCATCACCAGGCTAAGCAGATGCACATAATAATAATTACATTTCTTGAACTTGGTAATTTGCCTACTCATTAAAATATAGCTTTATACATTAAAATTGTTTTAATTTTGTGATAAAGGTAGGGAGGCAGAACATATTTTATTTAACACTTTGTTAGCTTTCTTTAGGGCTTTTCGGTATGTAGACATGGAGTACGGTGTCCTCCTTTGTACTCTTGCCTGGAGTCTGCCCACATCAGGTAGGTAGACCTACTTGTAATCCTTGACCTGATGCCCAGGCATTAGGAGTAGAGAGAGCAAACAGCAGTAGGGGGACCCCAGCAGGAGGAGGCTGGGTGAGCTCCGGCAAAGAAAGCAACAGAGGGAGAAAGGAACTTAGGTTCTCAGGGTTCCTTCCCTCCTGAAATTCCCTCCCAAACTCTTGTTTGCCTAACCCTTGAACGCTCTGCCTGTGGCTGCAGTCCCTCCAAGTAACGTGTGTGAATTCGATGGCTTACTGACTTAATTTGGAGGAGCCTATGAACACAAAGTAGAGGATAGCCTTTATTTAAAAACTTTCACTTGAAGTGCATGGCCTGTCACTCCCTGCTCTAAAAGCTAATTGCTGCAGCATCTGTAGGCAGAGCCATTAACCTTTTGCTGTGATTGAATCCATTATGGTTGGCTAGAAATAATGCACCTTCTAATGACTACCTTCGATATTACTGGGAAATAAAAATTTCAGTAGTAACATGACACTGCAGGAAAGAGCTACATATTTTTAATAACAGTTTGATGTGTAAGATTGTGTCTTTGGAGCTCTGGTATTGTCATTTGCAAATAAAAAGATTCATAATGCCAAAGAAAAACAGCTTCAGCTCTACTAACACTTTGAATTATATTTTGTACCTATGAGTTTACTGTGATTGATTTTACTTTTAGAGACTTCAATACCTACCATCTGGTCACCTTTAACATTAAATATCTTATCCTTTTTTTCTAGCAAAGCAGTTGTATTAAGTCCAATATTAGAAATGATTATTTTCCTCTAAAGCTTGTAGCATCTAGGAGAAAGGACTTCCGTCTCAAATTTAGTAATATAAATAATAGCTAAATTCATTCCCTTTGATATGCAAAACTAGCTTTACCCCTAATTGTGCATTATCTGTATCTGCTGTTAATGACTAAATATATCTTTTTAATTGTCTTAAAAACAAATGGGATAAGTATGTGTTACAGGGAGACAAATAAAGGAAAATATAAATTAAATTTTACAGAAACTGGAATTAAAGAAACAATATTTTTGCAGCTCAATAGAAAAATTTTATAGAAGAGGTGGACTTTGAGGAGCAACATGAATATAACATTATAAAGAGATTTGACATACCAAATATGGCATGTGAATGTTTAGAGGGAGCTATGGGATAATTTAATACAATAGATCTTGTGTATTTTTGCTTGAAGGCAGAGGCAGAGATTTGCCCTGAAGCTAATGAAGCTTAAACTTGAGGGACCTTTCTACAGCTTTAATTCTATATTTTAAATCTTATGTTTTTTTTTTTTTTAAAGAACCCCTAAAATTGTACTTTTCCTGAAAGGAGGAAAATAGTA